AAAAAGGCTCCTGAAATTTTAACCCTTCACATCACAAAGTGACAAAGGATCTCAGGAGCTCGCCTAACCAGGCTGTAATTAGCCAGACTTCCTACCTACTTAGCCAGCTTTGGATCAGTCCCCAAAACAATAAGCGGGCTGCGATACAGCAAAGCATTGGGGCAGCTGCTTCACGTTGAGAATACATTGAATCTCCATTGGCATCACTCGGGTTCTACTTGAGTAGAAGTTGCTAATGAGTACGAGTAAGGCCTCATCTCTGAAATTTATCCCTGAAAAGGCAAAAGCAAAAGCCATTGTTGTTTTTTTTGCTGTTTTGTTTGTTTGTTTTAATAAATAAGCTACAAGAAATACCAGGCCACACCACCAAACAACTGCTGCTAAGAGGTCACCCCAGCTGTACAAGAATCGAGATTATCCTAGTTCATCTTCACACGTGAGCCTCGTGACGTTTCAAAGTTTACCTAGAGATTATCCTAGTTCATCTTCACACTTGAGAAGTTTAAAAGTTTACCTAGGAAAAAAGGAGCCTGGCAGTTTAGAAAGCAGTTCTCTCAGGCTGTGCCCATGTGAGCCTTTCCCTCGCAGACCTGACACTCCAGTCCCACTGATGGCTATCCTGAGGCTGCAGAGTACCTTCTGCATTCCTTTGCTGCTCTTCTCCAGTTGTGCTGGCCAGGCAGAAGGAGGCAGATCCCTACCGCTGGACTAGCGCTCATCCATAAAGAACAGCTCTCCAATGCACCGGTACCCGTGTGGCACTTTTCACCAGCATTTTTCCAAGCGGTCTGCGGAGCGGGTGGTGACGAGCAGTGCGACCATTCCACGGGTGAAGGGCTGAGGAGGCAAGCCCGGGGTCAGCCTGGCACTGCCCTGACTCCCCAAGCTCCTCCAGTGCTGTGCAATGCTGCCTCTTGGTGGAGCGCAGCTAAACGCTCTGCAAGGCTCTCAGCTTTTCTCCCCATTCGTGTCTGCCTGCTGCCTGAGAAAGGGCTAATGTCACACCTCCTAGGGCAGCGTTAAAGATAAAATGCCCAAGGGATGTGTTTTAAAACTGGTAGTTAAATTGGACAGCCAGAAGCACTGAATGGGAATGTTTCATAAGCTAAGTTGAATATCCATGGAAAGAACAATTGTATGATATTAGTAATGAGCTAATTCAACAATGCACTAATTCAACTCCTTCCAAAACAATTCATGAACTCATTATCAATTTACAGTGCTTGGGGACCTTCATTAATTATCACTATTCCTAGTTCTTATATGTGTTTATGCTAAGGGTGCAGTGTAAAGTTGGACATGGAAAAAAAAAATATAGCTGTGCCTTTTTATTCATACTCACAGCGATGGGAAAACCTCCAAAAGCATTCTCAATGTTTTGTAGTTGTCAAGACACTTCATTTTCTCTCATTCCCAAGCTCCAGAAGCTTCCTCTTTGTGATTGCAAACAGATGATGGTAGAGCACGCAATTAGACTAATACAAGTAAATTCCAATCAGTGGTAGCCTGCAGCAGCTCCTCAGTGTTCACATCAAATGGAGGCCAACTCTTAGCATGAAGCTGTCAGCAGGTTTTTAAATTAAAATTGATTTTTAGAAGCAAACTTCTGTGACCTTCTTCATTGCACCCAAGAGTATCTATAACATCTGTCATTTATTATATACCATGGTTGGGATTTTCAACCATCCACTGAGCCTGGGCATTCAAAGTCCAACATGCACCTTTGACTATACCAGTGCAAAGTCTCGTGAGCTTTGAGCGTTTGGGAGAAGAGCGTTCCACAAAACAGGGAAGTGTCTGCGCCTCTCTACACGCACCAAGAAACACTATAAAGAATATACAATTTAGGAGCTTATTTGAAAATGACACTTTTAAAATTTGAGCTTTTGGTACAACTAGAATAGATTCTGCAGATTTACCCTATTCCTTGCCCATAGCTACAATCTTTCTTTGCAAAACAGAGATGGCAGATTCTCAAATATCTTAGTTTTTCCAAAAATTACCCCAGTAAAACCAGTGGTTAGTGCTAACAGCTATTTAGTGTGCTCAATGGGCATAAAATACGATAGCACTGGCTTTCATAACAGTGTCAGAACCGCTAAGTAAATATGGTGTAGGTTTCAGAGTTACCTATCTTGATCTCATCTCGGGGATCACCGTTCAAACACAAGATCTTCCAGAATTCCAGAGGTTTTAAGACGGAGACTGGCTTCAGAAGCTGCCCCCAGATTTCCCAGGACACAAGAAGATTGGTATTCCCCACAGTGGGAGGCCACCAGAAGTACCTCTGTCAAACTGGGTGCCAAACAGTTGCATGGTAAAATTCTGCTAACGGTGCCAGCCAATGTCACCAGTGCATTGCACCCCAGCTGCTCTGGGAGGGGTGTCGAGCCTCCTGGTAGTCCAGAGAAGGCAGACTTGTCAGCAGACCGGGTCAGCTGATGGCATAAAGAGCTGGAAAAAAGGCATATAACAAGGTCAGGTCCATCAGAGTTTTTTGGGTAAAGGGCAGAGCTGTGCAAACATGAGCACATCAGTCCGGCTAAAAGCATTTTGGGTAAGAAATAGAAATTTCTCTAAGCATGGAGAAATTGGCAATCTTTATTCTAAAGTTACTGGGCAGCCCTGGTGTATATATGCAAGTTCAAAACCAGGCTTTTTAGAGAAGAACGAGTCTTCAGTGTCCTCAACCTCTATTTATAGGCAATAAAACACATCTCCCTCATTTCCAAATGCTCCTTTCTGCCTTTAGAACACACTCGGCCATAAGAAACAGCTCCAATCATCTTATCTGTTAACAACTCTATTCCCCCAAGTGCTCCAAGTCAAAGCAACATGACTGACTGCAAAGCAAGGCATCCTCATTTCAACTACTTCCAATTTTCTATTTTTCTCTGAAAAGCAAGTCCAGGCTGCTAGTACAGTTGAGCATTAGACAAAAAGTTTCCAAAACCAGTGAACATAAGGCAACGAAAGTCATTTTGTAACACAGAAAAATACAAGTACAGTTATACAAGTGTTCTTGTTCCAAGAACAATTGTAAGTGGGTTTTGTTTTGATTTTGAAAAATCTCCAATATCTCAGGGTAGCTGCAGTAGACCACACACTGGAAAAATTACGTGGTTTTCTGGTCACTGTGCAATAAGAAAGGATTTTTCTCTCTGAGACAGAAAAGGCCTATTGAAGGTTGGAAAGGGAGGGCAACTCGGAAGAATGAAGAATCAGGAAGCTGGGGAGATAGGTTATAATTGTATGAGGATGCTTTGGTCTGGTTGTCTGAACAGCTGCCAGGGAATTAGGAAAGCCAGCTTCTACTTTTTCATCAGCCTAGGCAAAACACAAGAGCTAAAAGCAAAAATCAAATCAATCCCGGTTTTATGGTATCTGCTGCCAGGGGTGACTCCATCCCTGGTTGTCCATCTGGAGGTAAGAGGTTTTGCAACACGAAGTGTAGCATAGATAGAAAATAAAGCGGGAGGAGAAGTATCAGTTCATTTAAGACAGTGGGGTTTGTGCCAGAGGTTTTGTGATACGGTCACACAGTGTCCCACAGCAAGACATTACATAAATATCTGCATCTTTTACGGATGAAGATCCACTCCAGGCTGTAGACAAGTGACGAGCAGATAAACCGTGAGCCGAGAGTCAGTCGTGACTTTCCCCTGATTTCACAACCCACCGCAGTAACCAGTTGCATAACCCACTTCCCAGGTTATCTTACTGCAGTCATTGGGCAATTTTGGATGTAGTCCACTGAGTACATTCTTTTTAACATTCTTTTTACCAAGAAAACAAAATAAAAGATTTTATAGCCTTGATGTGTTTCTGGCACATTTTAAAAACTGCTACTAATAAAACTTTTCCAAGATGAAACAAGAGGAAAAAATGACCAAGCCGCAGCAATGTAAACATCTCATGCCTTTTTTTTTTTTTTTTTTTTTTTTAAGTTAGGGTTTTGTGCAGGAAACTGGGAAACAACATCACAGAAAAAGACTGCGTTAAGGAAACAAAACCCATGTAAGCACAACTTCGAGTGGAACAGTATCACGTTTCTAGCAGCCCACGTTAAATGGAGTTTGAAAGAATCACGTTTTCATGCACACCAAGGGCTTGCTCCTTCTGACCACTGAAGGCAGCGACAACTCACCAACTGACTTTAGTGATGCAGGAGCCAGTCCCTAGAGCAGCAGACTGGCTTGTATGTGTGGCACTGGGCAGAGGGCCAAGAGACCTGAGTTCAGTTCCTACCCTGATGCAAACTCCCTGTGTGAGTTCTGACCAGTCTCCCTGGGCCTCAGCTTCTCATCCGTAAAGAGAGTGATCCGTCTTTGTCTGCTTCCACTGTCAGTTCTCTGAACAGTCATAGCATCTCTCCTGGCACACCAAAGCCTCTGTTTTCAGTGCGTTTTTTAGGTGCAATTGTGATTTAACAAGGAATGACTAATGCACACCCTTAATCATCACAACAACTCTAGCATTATGCAGCGCTCCAGTGACTCTTGTGCACCGCCCTACCCAGTTCTGCGGGAGATAAAGTGCCAAATGTACTGCAAGTACTTAAAAATATGCCTGAAGCACCAAACTCATCTGCACTAGGCTGACCTGTGTATACAATACTGCCCTTTACGTGCATCATAAATCACAAAGCGCCTGAGTTCGTTGATTTTCAAAGACCATCTCCTCCACGCCTGAAAATGATCCGTCCTGACGAGCAGGAACTCAAGCAAGAGTACCAAGAGACCTGCACGGGTGAACAAGGAGCTCCTGACGATATTCCCTCCACAGTTTCAACGCACTTTTTTCACTTCTGAGATCAGAGGCAGTACATGAACTGCCATGAACCACTTATTTAACGTTACCAGGCAGCATTTTCAGTGTTAATGCCCTTTCGTGAAATAGACCACGAGAGGGCACCAGTACTGCTCTAAAAACCAAAGAGAAAACCGAGCAGCTAAATAAATTCGTGGGAATTTGCTTACAAACTGTATCGCTCCAAAGGCATGGGACAGCAGGCTCCACGGTCCCGAGTCGCCCGCCTGCAGAAAGCCCCAGTGCCGAGCAGGTACGTGGGTGCGCTGCAGCAGGGAGAAAATCACCCCACGACCTCAGGCCAACTGAGCTGGTGCTTTTTCTGCCTCCCCTCCGAGACTCCCTTTGCTTACAGACCCCCTTTCATCCGGGTGGATGGGTGAAAGGTTCACACAGCTTTTCGTATCCGTGTTGTCCAGAGGCTCCCTCTGCAGCAGCTCTGTCCGACCTCAGGCCTCCGCCCAGCAGCAGCAGTTATCTTCACTGCTACGCTCGGGAGGCTCGTCCCCTTCTCTCTCAGCAGAGAAAGGCTTTGCATTCCTGAAAGCCAGGTGAGCAGCGAGGTCTGAAACCACCTGTTTTCAGCCCAGCAGTCCCAGCAGGGTGTCTGCTCGTTTCACAGCCTTTTCAATGCACGCTCTCTGTGAGGGGGGGACTGAATGATGACCCACAAAACTCAAAGAACGAACAGCTACAGCTCAAGCTGAACAGCTGACCTCCAAGACAGAGAGCTGTTTTTTCCAGACATCACCACAAGGAATTCTTCTAGAAACAAGAGAAAAGCAGCAGCATATTACAGCACATTATTTTTCACGTCTGCATCCCAAATGTCTGATTCAAAATTATGCCATGAAAGAACAAAACCCTTGGCCTCACAAAATCTCCCAGTGAGATCTCCTGCCAAACACCATCTAGGACGTTTGCACCAAGAGAAGAATGTCTACAAATACCCTATTCAAGAGCAAGTGCAATTATGTATGAACGTATAGATCACTCACAAAGCTAATTTTGCTTACAAAGGAAAATACCTCATTGCTAAAAGATTCGTACAGTTAAGCTAAACCTTTTCCTGCAGCATTGACTGTGAATACAAAAGGATTGTTCTTTTTTGTTTTGGCTGTAAGTGAACAAAATGCTGTTTTCAACTAGATGTTTCTCCCGAGTTTTTGTGACAGTTGGATTAATTCCGTGCAACTATTCCACGAAAGTAAATTTATTCTGAATGCCCTGGTAAATTTCTGGCAGTTCAGAGGAATCTCCCAGTTGGGACACATCCATTGCGAAGAACACCAGGTAAGGCAGAAATGGGGGAAATTTGAAATAACTCAGTCTACAATCAGGGTAGACGTTAATATAGCTGGTGGAGAACAAGAGGGTCGAAAGGGTGTTTTACAGTACCAGCCTTAGAGTCTAAACTTGATGAATCTTTTTGCACTAACCAAACGGCTGGTTTTTCTACTGTATTTGTAAAGGTATGGGTCAGAAAAACAGAGCAAAGAAGAGTTCCAAAAAGGCATTAACTCATCTGAAAAGAAAATGAATTGATAGAATATTCCACAAAGAACTGTGCATAAAATAAGACTATTTTCTTCAATACAGGGTGTTGTAAAATACTGTTTGTTTAAAAATGTGTTTCTTGTGCTTGGGCAATTCTTGAAGTACTGAAATTGTTTCTAATACAGTTATCAGGACAAAGAGGGAAAAAATGTGCTGCTTTTGATTCAGCTGTCATTCCTAGCTCCAAAGGAGTTACCCAAAAGAGGAATCAGATCGTTACAAATGCCTAAAACCACAATAAACACCCTGAAATGTTATTAAAGCTATGCTCTAACTTCAGAACAGCATTATCAGCACCCCTGCAACAGCCTACAGCCCTATTCCCACAGGGCTAATGTCTCAGCTACAGAAGCTGATGATACACCTCGCAGAGCACATTTGCTGTTCTCCTCGCTTCCTTTCACGTGACTGTCAGTCAATGCTAACAAGAATACGAAGGGTAACGCTAAATTTAATGTAGTAACTAGGCTGAAGAGCTAGATTTGACCATCAAGGTCTAAATTACAATGACATGTATTTGCAACCTTTTATATTCAAAATAAAAACACTTCTAGAGTATTCAGACCCTGGGAATTTTAAATGGTTGTAGTCTGCTCTCTTTTTTTTTTTCCCCCTTGCAATCTAAACGTTCGCATTAGAAATGCAGAGGTGAAGATTCTTTTAATCCGAGACTAAAGGCCTTTGATGTTGCAGCAGACATCTTTTCCCAAACTGGCTGGGCAGTTCCCGCGTTGCTTAGGAAATCCAAAATGCTCTTTAACAAGCACAGCAGAACGAGAGGTCTCTGAGGTCGTACGTGCATTACACGTTCTGAAAAGCGGTTCCTTCGCCTTTTGGCTTTAGCCAAACTTGTTCTTTCATTCTGGTCAGGAACCAATCTGCAGGCAACACAGGTATCGCGCAGGCGGTGGGATCTTGGATCACAGGTCACTGCAGGCTTGACCTCCAGTCCAGGGAAGTCAGTGCAAAGATTCCCACCAGGCTTTGGCACAGCTCCTGAATTTTACACGCTGGAGACAGACCGTGGCAAAAAGCAAGTCAGAAATGAACCGGGGCCCCGTTCTGTTTAGCCGGTCTCTGCCCTTCCTGACACCTCCTACCAGAGAAGGTGGAGCAGCACACGACGGGCTCGCCACGGGGCTCTGATTCGGATGGTCGTTCTTCCACCCCCTCATCCCGTCACTGGCCCAGGGCTCTGCCAGAGGAGCCGGTGAGAGGAGACGCTGTGTGAAACGCAGCTGCCTTCTCGCGTGCTGCGGAAAGACGGCCGCAAGGCTGGTTTCATACAGCAGGCAAGGACGTGGCATTTTTCAGACCTTCATTTACCCGCTCTTGGGACCCTGAAGGCTCTTAAACGCGCTGTCTCACATAAGCAGTCCAGTCGATTGGCTTAGTGTCCAATCCTGTCATCCCAGTTTGATTTTCAAAGCTCCAGATGCACATACTTTTTATACAACGCTTCAATGCAAAATATGATTATTTTTAATAAGATATTTGGTCTACTTTTCCTCACTTTCTAGCCCTGTCTTCAAATTCACCAATAGAGGCTCAGGAATGTAAAACAGATCCCTTGGGAACTGTAGAAATTTGGGGAAAATAGTGCTGTTCTACAAAGCCCTTCTGAAACTCTATTTAAAATAGTTAAAACTGGTTATCCCACCAATAGTTTAACCTGATCTAGCGGTTTAAAACACAGTGCACACACAGTAGCATTTTAAATTGATGCTGGAACCAGATAAAAGGCACATCATAAAGATAAAAGCTGCAATTATTTAAACTGCATCAATTGCAAGTATTAATTTTCCTTTTCAACTTCCACGAGGTTTGCTTCCATCGCATATTTAGGCGGCAAGATGCTAGCAGCATAATCACTTTTATTTCTTGCTCCCACTCACAATCCCTGTTTGCAGGCTTTTACTTACTGACACTGGTGGGAGTTTGAAATCCAGAATAAAATAGGTACCAACAAAGAGACTTTGAGAATATAATAAAGATAAGTAACATTATGGAAGATACGCAGGGAGCGCTTCCAATAGGTATAATTTTGCATTTCATCCTTCTCTCATTTTCATCACCCTGCCAGACTCCTAACTGCATCTTCCACTTAGCCCAAGCACTGCTTTTAGCCTTCCACGGAAATCGTACCCATTCAGCAGAAAATATAAGCTTTTCCCTTTTGATGGCCCTAAGCTCACTTTGTAGAGCAGCAATACTTGACAACGCCCTTCTGTTTTCCCAGGTGGAAGCTTGCAGAGAACGCTTTGCAGTGATGAAATCAGCAGCGTTGAAGACTTACATTTTGAGAACATGGTATATTCTTGTGCCGATAGTGCGGCTGAATACAGCTGAGGATTTCCAGTGGACAAAGAATAATCCAGGCTCTTTCTATTATGGCACTTTTCCAGCTGGTACTTTTAAATTACAGTTGATTGTGGGTTTTATAATGCTCTAGATCTACTTGTGTGTTCGCACAAAAAAGCTACTAAAAGGTTTACCTTGTCCTTCCAGGGAAGTGGCAGAAATAAAACCCCAGGTTCTTGCAGAATGCATACTGATTGTCATCTTCTGCAGCCAGCCCTGGAAACACAAGGATTCAAGTAAACCTGCACTTCATATAGTCACTTGAACCAGTAACTCAGGGTAAATGCTAACAGATTAATATTTCACATCCAGATCTCCTTTCCTGTCAGTGATTGAGATGCACAGTATAACAAATCACACCTGAGAACCCTTCTCCTTTGCCACAGATTATCCACAACTTATGAAGAATGAGAAACTAAAAATATCCTTTGTTATGCAGCTAACTTAAGAAATGAACGTCAGTGAAATAACTGTGTTGGGTTTGTTTCAAGCTGTTTAGTATTATCTAATTCACCCTTCAGTACTGCTTTATGAAACCTCGTCCTTTCTTCAACACGTATTCATACACACTCACACGCGCCATTCAACCAAAATCAAAACTAAAAACATATAGGCACTGATGTGTTTTCATGCTCAAGTTTTTAAGTGGTTTATGAAATGGATTAATCGCCCTTTTGTCTAATACTAGGAAAATAATCCAGGATCTTTCTATATATTTTACGTAACAACAGCTGAACTTGTAATCACTAAAAACCCCATAAAAACTAGCAGGCAGAAATCATGTGGGAATCTAATTTTTTCTGACAGCAAGATATTTCTGCCACGGTAGCAATGCACTACCTCGTGGCTGTAAAATAACAGTAACAGGATCTCATACACGAAAGAACTGGATTCCTTTTCCAGTGCCTCAGAAAAGGATACCTTTCGTCTACACTGTGATTTCAGACAGTCCCTCTTTATGCACGAGTGAAGCTCCCCACAGAAACCACCGGCCTCTCGCTCACTGGGCATGCCATCACGCACATTTCACACCAAGCTATGCGGCTCTGAAAGTCTATCCATTACTTTCTGGTAGGAAAATTTACTACGAAGACCCGTTTTTCAGGAAAATATTTAAATCGTAACTCACTTCTTTTTACCTTTAGGTTTTTTATGGGGTGTTGGAAGCTCTGCGTACCAGACTGAAGGGGCCTGGGATGAGGATGGGAAAGGACCAAGTATTTGGGATGCTTTTACTCACAAGAAAGGGAAAGTGTTTAGAAATGAAACAGGAGATTCCGCATGTGATGGCTACTACAAAGTTAAGGTATCGTTAAAGAGGAACTACCCCTCCAGAAACGTCCTGGAGTCATTTCACGATACTGATTTCTCCTTTCGAAATAACAGCAAAGATGAAATGCTTTAGTTGCTGTATAGACTCATTTAACTTATGAAGCCAAGGGATGACATTTTCAATTAGTTCAGTAAAATCTTCCTTCCTAGTAATCTCACTGATTCCATAATACCACAGCATATCCCAGATAAGTCTCAGTTTTTCAGGATTTTTGTGTCCAAAGAAATATTCTAAATTTTGTGGGAAATCCAAATGCTTAAGTTAGAACCACAGTGCACGCATTTGAGCTTTGAATAAAATTAACATCTTTTTTTTTTTGCATGTTTGAGCAGCTCTAAAGGTTTCCTATGTATATTCAAGAATAAAAAACATCAGATGCTTCAGAATTCAGTCTGAACGTTTTCCATTTTTTTGAATGGACAACAAATAAATAATCAATGCAGCTCTATTAGCAATGTGTTTCCAAGCTTAAAACTATCAAAAACAATTTTAGAATTACTGTCTGGGAGGAAAGACAGACACTCAGCAAGAATCCAAATGACTATAATAAGCCATTATTATATTATTTTATTATTAAATTATTGGAATTCCAACTAATTTGTTGAAAGTTACATTCCAGAGGATTTTCCGTACGCATGAAACCCAAGCAGAGGTCTCAGCAAGAACTGAGAGGAAAGAAATGAATTATGCCTCACTATCCTAAAACAGGAAAACACAGGAGAGATTTAATTTGCTCTCTCTCAAACAAGCAAAGGCTTGAAAGAGCAGCTTAATAAAAACCCACAGAGAGGTCAGAACTCCGAGGCTCGCTGGGCCGTTGCATCAGATTGAGGTGATGATCACAGGATCTATTTTTCAGAGGGGATTCAGGCATAAATGACAGCATTTCAACATTTACTCACTACTGGGGGCCTGTATTCGAGATACTTTCTACTACTTGCTTCTAAGTGTTCAGTCACATGATCCTCTTTATATAAAAGCACTCTCTCTATTTGCTTTCAGCACCAGAATTCTCTTTGCCTTGGCTCATATAACAATTTCTAACTCCATTTAATATCGAAGATGTAGTATTCCTTAGAAAAAGAACAGTATTCATACTGAATTTCTTTTTTGTGCTAACTCCAGTACGAGACAGTAAACGAAAGCCTGTGTAACCATGGTTTTGTGCCTAAGCTGAAATGTTTGAGGTCAAGAGCTACAGGCTTGTATTATTTTTTGAAACATCCACATTACAAATTCTAACATAAATATAATTGTGTTGCAGAATACCTCAACTCATTTTTCTGTCCTCTCTTTGATGGTGAAAACATTCAGCTTCCATAGTTGTTAACACAAAAACGTTGCAGGACTTCTTTGGAGAGTCAAGAAAAAAAATGGTTAAAAAGGAAGCGTACAAGTAGAAAGAGCCACCATCTCAAAGCAAATGCAGAAAACAACTGATGGAATCTCCTTTGTGCAAGTCTCCTATAGATTTTCTGCATCCAGTACTATTTAAGACAGACGAGGAACTGAAGTTACTCTGCTCAGACTTCAGATGTGTTAATTGGATTTTCTTTTCACAGGATGACATTCGGTTACTGAAGGAGCTGAGAGTTAATCACTATCTATTCTCTATCTCATGGCCTCGGATTATGCCCACTGGCATCAAAAGTAAGCGTAACAATCTCACCACATTCTCAGCAGTGTTAGTAGGCAAGGAATTTTACTCTTAAGCACGCCACAGTTGTTTCACATTACTGTTAAACAGATTTCTGTTTCTTTGCAGAACAGTTTCACCATTACACATCCAGTACAGTACACCCACCAGCGTAATGTAAAATTCCTGGGTTAAAATTTTTAGATTTCTGTTCTTCCAGTTATTTGAAAAACAATCCAGGTAAATTCCTTGTCTGTGTGTTTCATCAGCAGAGCAATTGAATGAGAAGGGCATACAGTTCTACAACGATACAATTAACAGTCTGCTGGAGAACAATATTACCCCTATCGTCAGCCTCTACCACTGGGATCTTCCCCAGGTTAGACCACATTGAAATTAGTGAAATGTCTAATATAAGTGCTTCTGATAGGAAATTTCTTTCTAAGTTTGAGGACTATGGTACTTTAGAAAAATGTTTAATGATGCCTGCATGCTTTTAAGTGTCCTTATTATTTTCTATTAATTTGCATTTTATATACATTGCTGATACATACATTGAAGTTGTGAAAAATCTCTGTCTGAGCTACTGAAAGATAAATAAAAGTCTTTGTAAACAGGCAGCTGAACCTTCAATAACACTATTGATTCTCGAAATTCTTATTTACAAAGGTTCTCCAAGAAAAGTACGGTGGCTGGCAAAATATAAGCATGATAAATTATTTTAATGATTATGCGAATCTGTGTTTCGAGAAGTTTGGCGATCGTGTGAAACACTGGATTACTTTTAGTAATCCTTGGGTAAGTCATCAATGCTTTCCTTCCAACCACTCCCATCATACAGTCCTGTTCCCAAAATCCTGTGGAAGGGGCATTACAGGGAAATAGGTTAAAAATTGGAGAGAAGGAAAGGGAGAGACCTACGCCGCTAATCTTTGGGCCGCAAAATCTCAGTGGCCAGATTCTGCCAAGCACAGAGTTTTAAGACACGAAATGCCAGTGAAGTTTTGAAAAACAATCAGCTGCAGAGAAGAAAGGCACAGGAATGAGAGCGGCGGTTATAACTCGCCCTGAACAGCAAGCTGGCGAGTCAGGCCACTGACGCCAGTCACCAACACGTTGCTTCCAACGCGCCTCAGCATCTTGTCAGCCCAGCAGCGAGGCAGCAGCTGGAAGCCAAGGGCAGGGGAAGGAAAAAGGGGACTGGAGAGGACAGAGAGATGGAGAGAGAGGGACCGTGCAGAAGAGCACAGGCTCTAAGTCCACAGGATGGCAGCAAGTTCATTAGCTCTGCTGTTCTGAGAATAATTAACTCTCTGTGTTCGTAGGCGGTTGCTGAAAAGGGGTATGAAACTGGAGAACACGCACCAGGACTGAAGCTCGGTGGATGCGGAGCGTACAAAGCAGCACACCATATAATTAAAGTAAAACTAAAACTGTGCTTTAAATTCTGCACGAATCCAGAATTTTCAGCAGACTAAGGTTTTTGATTCTGCTCTTTAAACAGAAACACAGCTTTGTAGCGATGTCATTTCAACTCACACCTCAAAATTATCACCTGGCTTAAAACCACCAATGCGTATCCAGGTGTAGCATGAGATGCTAGGTGTGCTTTTATTTAAAACAGTTAAACAATAGTTGCTAGGTGCAACTTTTCCTTGTAATTTAAATCTCTTTGAAACATACTGTAAAACTGATTGAATAAGAAAACATCCAGATTACGCCAGAAACAAGGAGTAAAATCCTGACCTGTTGAAATGAACTTGAATTTCACAAGTGACTTCAGCAAGCCTAGCTCTTGTAAAAATAAACTTTCATTTGCCTGAATAAATTAGGCAAAGACACCCAAAGACTGGACAGAACACTATACCGAATGCTGCATATTACTTTCAGGGGGACCTACTGGAATTCAGGGAGGGAATCTTGCATAAACGCTTTGACATCTTACATGAAATGAAAGCTTCCACAACATACACAAAAGAAATTACGTG